ATCCATCCATCCATCCATCCATCCATCCATCCATCCATCCATCCATCCATCCATCCATCCATCCATCCATCCATCCATCCATCCATCCATCCATCCATCCATCCATCCATCCATCCATCCATCCATCCATCCATCCATCCATCCATCCATCCATCCATCCATCCATCCATCCATCCATCCATCCATCCATCCATCCATCCATCCATCCATCCATCCATCCATCCATCCATCCATCCATCCATCCATCCATCCATCCATCCATCCATCCATCCATCCATCCATCCATCCATCCATCCATCCATCCATCCATCCACACATCCATCCACACTTACATCCATCCACACTTCCTTCCTTCCTTCCTTCCTTCCTTCCTTCCTTCCATCCATCCTTCCCTCCCTGTCCCTGATGCCCTAATCGCCCTGAGCATCCTCACCTGGTCCCCACCCACACCCCTGACACCCCATTTAAGCTCAGCAGCAGCACCCAACCCCTGTGCCATGGATGCACTTGGCCCATTGCCGTTCTCCACAGCCCCCTTGCTTGCTTACAGGGTTTCCTGCCTTCCCCTTAGGTGTTGTTTTACCTCCATCTGATGGTTTCTGGACCTGTAGTGGGACCTGCTGCCACCACAGCCCTGCTCGCTGCCCTGGGGTGGCTGGTGCCAGGGCCACCTGCAGCTCCTGGCGTGTCCCCTCTGTGCAGAGCATCCTGCGCTCACTGCTGTTCACCACGGGGGTAGAAAATCTGCAGGTGGTGAGGGGGGCTGGAAAACCAGCCTTCCCCCACCCTGGGGGTGCCCCCAGCCCCTCGTGCACCCCCTCCTCTGTACACTGTAGGTTCTCCCCATCCCTCTTCCCCTGCACATCCTCCCCCTAGTCCCTCTGATCCTAGATATCATCAGGTCCTGCGCTTCCCCTCTGCCGGCACTCCCTCCACATCATGGACCCGAATCACAGACAGTAAAACACCTCCCATCAGTATCCCCCCAAACAGACCAGGGGCTCCTCAGCGAGACCTGTGCCATCCCCACACTGTCCTTTATCCCCGTGTGGATAGCGAAAGTCTGTCGAGTGTATGGTTGTATTATTTTTCTCTGCTAAAGCAGCCAAAGCATTTCAAAGGGGTTCCCCAGATGTCCTCGGCAGAGAGGTAAGGCCAGGCTCCATGTTTCTCTGCTCTCTGCATCGTGCAAGATGCACCAGTTTTGGCTTTTCACTGAGCTGAGTGGGGCAGTAGACACGCTGGAGGGAAGGGGTGGTGTCCAGAGGGACCTGGAGAGGCTGGAGGAGTGGGTCCACATGAACCTCATGAAGTTCAGCCAGGCCAAGTATAAGGACCTGCACCTGGGTTGGGGCACCCCCCAGTACCAGCACAGACTGGGGGAGGGAGGGAGGGAGGGATGGATGGATGGAGAGCAGCTCTGCGGAGAAGGAGTGGGGAATACTGGTGAGCAGCATGGCCGGCATGGCAAAGGAGGGGATGGTCTCCCTCTGCTCTGCTCTCCTCAGACCCCCCTGCAGCACCACCTCCAGCCCTGGGGTCCCCAGCACAGGGCAGACATGGACCTGGGAGAGCCGGGCCAGAGGAGGCCACTAAAATGGTCCGAGGGCTGGAACACCTCTGCTGTGGAGAAAGGTGCCTTGTGGGGAGCTGCCAGCCCCATCTGCTGCCTGCTGCAACTTCTCTTGCCTTGGCTTGGAGCTGGGGCAGGAAACCACCCCCATGGGGTCCTTCCCTCCTTTAGCAGTGCTGCCTCAGTCCCACCTTGCTCCCTCCTTCATTTTACAGAGATGCTGATGCCCGCCTCTGGCTGGGGATGCCAAAATAGGCTATTTATCAGGCCACCTCCCCCCCCATCACAAACATTAACCCTCATAACATCAATGTAGAAATGGAAAATGTTTGTGGTTCCTTGTGGGGAAGCAGCTCTTGCTCCCAAGGCTGGGATGTGTCATCCTACCTCCTCCTGCATCCCACTCTTGCAGCTCCCAGTGCTCCGAGACGGACCCCGCACCGATGGCCCTGCCTGCCTCTCCCTTCCCAGAACAGCCAACAGAGCCTCTCATTTTGGCCCCAAACCGGCTGATTTAGCCTGGTCCCCCTTCTTCCTGGAGGATAAAACCTGGTGCTGAAGCTCGGGTGACAGTTCCAGCCTGTGCGTACCCTTCGTTGTGCTTCATTCTGTGTGATTTTGATCACATCTTTTAAAATAAATTAAAAAAAACCCAATCCCACTCAAAGCCAGCCTTCCCAGGGCAGAGATATTTCCGTGCGGCAAATGCTCCAATGCGAATTCTCCGATGTCCTATTTTCGGTTCGGCGCCGGCACCGGCTGCAGACATCTGCGCTGCAGCTCCCGTCAAGCCTTCGGCAGTAATCGCGGTGGAAGGAAATCAGAGTTTCTCAGGGCAGAAAAGGAAATCTCTCCCCTCCTTCCCTGGGGCTGTGCCACCCCGTGCCTGCCCCCTAACGACACCCCAACCGCCACCAGCCCTTCCTTCCCTCCCCTGTAGTTATTCATTTATTCCTTATATTATTCATTACGTATTCCCATATCGGAGAGCACCGCTCAACCCCAGTGTTTAGGGGTGTGCGCGTGGGGTGAGCCCCAGCTTGGGGAACCCCCTGTGTGGCTCTCCTGCCCCATAGTCTCCGTGGGGTGAGGACAATGCCCTACGATGCCCTGGGGTGCCCCGGGCAGGGAGGTCCTGTATAGCTCAGGTGGCCACTTTGGCAGGAGGACACCCAGGCCGCTGCTCCTCACCCTGCCGCTGCCTTCCTGGGCCACCCACGGTTGAGTGGTTTGTTTAAATCCAGAAACCAGGGCACTGCCTCTGGTTTCTTCCTCCTCTCTATCTCTCGTACTTCTTCGCCGCTTGTCACATCCATTTCCACCGCTGCCTCTCCTGGGCCCGGCTGAGGCAGCACCAGTCAGTCTGATTGCTCCCAGCATCGCCTGCCCGGGCGGCAGCACGCTGCGGGGCCATGAGCTGTGGGGTGACGTGCTTTCTCCTCGCCTGGCAGATGTGATGAGGATTTGGGATGCCGCGTCTGAACGCATTCGGCAAATGCTCATGATGAATCAGGTAGCCTTTGTGGCCTCTGGTAGACCTGAAAGCATGATGGCATTGCGTGCTACTGCTCTTCCTCTCCTTTAAGGGCAGCTAAACCATCCCAGAACGACCTTGCAGCTGATGAATGGGCCACAGACCAGATTCTTCATAAACTGAAACTGAAAAATAAAAGTCCAGCTCTAGCAGAGAGAAGTCTTCAACACATTTTGTGGCTTCTCTGCTCCCCACGGCCAGAGTGGAAAGACCAGACCAAGAGGTGGAAACAATTTTTTCAGGGTTTATCCCAAATTATGGGAACCCCCAGTCTAGCTGAGGGATGTTGGCTCTGCTCTTCACCAGATACCTTTTAGAGGCTGAGGAGGAAGGACAGGAAACATCTCGGCATATGGAGGTCTTCTCCAAAGCTTTCCAGAGTCTCGTCTTGCTCTTCTGCACATCAGGGCAGGGCACAAGGGACAAAGCATCACCACCATGCTATAAAAAAAGTCCTCCTTCATTTCTACCAGCCACAAAATGCTTATTACTGGCTCCTTCTCTTGTCCTCAGCCTTCAGGCTACCAGAATACCTGGAACTGGGACGTTGTCAATTGTTGACCAAGAGATGCTGGATCTTGGATTTGGTGATGTCACTGCAGAGAGGTGGGTTTCTCAGCTACCTGAGACTTTGGCAGATGTTTGTGGTGTCATCTCTGGTGTTCTTGGTAGGAGGAGACATGAAAACCTTTACTTTCCCTTGCAGCACCTTTGGGGTGTACCACATCACCAAGAGAGGAAAGGAAACCCATTCAGAAGGTCCTGAGGACATCACAAGAGGAAACCTCCCCCAATGCAGCTAGGTGTATAAACCTAGAGTCTCTCTTTGTTTTATCAAAATGCTTCAAACCACTCATATTTATTCAGTGGTGTGGTGGCTGCTGTCTGATAGACATGTCCTGGAGCTGCTGCTTCCAAGCCAGTTGAGACAAAAATTGCTTCTCCGTACTTCTGCTGCACCAGACTTTGTAAAGGCAAACACCGGAGTTCATGCTGGCTCCTACAGCCTCATCGTAGGCAAAAGTGTTTTGGCAGCAGCTGTGGCAGTCTTGAAGAGAGATGGTTTGTACAAAAGCCCACGGACAGGCAGATTTTCTGTGATTTCTGGTCCATACTGCCATCCCTGAAACCGCGTTGCCCTGGAGTCCCACCAAGAGCCTGGTGTTCACCAATCTCAACATCAGCCTGGTGGCTCTCTGCAACAAAAGCAGAGGTGTCTTCTGCTGAAGTCAGCAAGAAGGGTGGTCAGAGTAACCTTACGTGGTGGTGTGCAGGTATTTTGCTTCTTAATGACAGCTGTTTGAGCATACCCTACCCAACGTGGCCTAGACGTTTCTTCAAACACTGGGTGTGTTGAGTGTGGACAGTTTCAGTGATCCAGCACCATCCACCCATGCCGTCCACTTGCCCTACTGGTTTGTAGAGTATTTCAGATTTCTGCTGCCATGACTGGGCGGCTCCTCACAGGAGAGGACTCCCTGGCCCAGACCCCAGCCCACACCCTGGCTGTGGTGGGCACATGAGAACAGCACAGGGACGGGAGATGGATGGGTGTAATTATAGTGTGGTCTCTAATTGCAGAAGAGCCCACCTGTATGGCTGTCGTTTCTGGGAAGCTCCGTCAGATGACTTCACTGACACATTATGCTATTTCTGGAGCTTCCTTTAAAAGACGCATGCTGTGCTGTATTTTGGCAATATATTCCCCATACCCATAGTCTCACAAAACCCACCTGGAACATTTGGTGTGACCTGCCAGTCTGCTGGGAGGCTTGGCAGAAACAGCCATTCCTTGCCTCCAATGATGATGTCACAAGTGATGTCAGCATGAAGTACAGGGACCAAGTAGAAATGACAGTGAAATCTTGGTCTAATGCTGATGTCCCCCTACAGACATGGATGAGGTGCGACTCTCCCGGGTCTCCAGCCAGGACTACAGGTGCCTGGCAGAAGCCCTCAGAGTTGGCTGTGCTTGGGGAAACAGCACCATCTATTTGCGGCATTGGTTTATGAGTGCCTTTGTAGAGAAGACAATGTGGCCTCCACGGTCGGATGCCCGTGACCCATCAGCAGGGCTGGAGATCCATCCCCAAGCCACAAGCTTGGTGTAGCATCCTCTGCTGTCCTAGGTCGTGTTGGGTTAGACCTTACCTCCAGGCACCTCCCTGCAGCCAAAAAGTAATGCCTGATGTTTGCTTTGAGTTTTGGGTTATGAGTAGGAGTCGCACAACGTGTGTGCACAAACCAGGGGAGAGCAGCTGGGTGAGGGGCAGAGGGACAAGGCATGGGGAGGGGGATGCCTCCAAACCCAGCTCAGCACCCCTCAGCATTTGCTCCCTGTGCGTCCCAGGAGGCAGACGTGATCTAGGACCCACAATTCAGGCTTTACCACATGCTTGGGAGGAACGAAAAAGATTTGCTCTATTAAACCTGCTGGAAAAAGCGTACAACGGGTGCTCTGGGGCATCCAAAGAACGTGTGGTCTGAGGCATCCAAAGCTCTCGTGGAGCGAACACTACTACTTCTTCCTGCTTTTCTTCTTGCTTTCGATCAGGTGCAGCCCCTGCTTCTTGATGTCTTCCCGGGTGAGGACAAGGCCGTGGTCTTTGTCAGCAAAATCAAAGGGGTCTGGAGGAGAGAGCGGAGAGGAGTGGTCTGAGGAGAGGCTGTGGGACCACCTCCACTGTGCCTGTGTCCCCAAGGAGAGCCAGCATGTTTTGGAGGGCTGGTGGCATCACAGTGAGCCCTCACGCTAAGCCCTTTAGGTGCTACTGACTGGCTCTTCCACCCCAGTGTCCCAGGGTGACCTGCAGGACCTGGTAACGCCACTGCCATGGCCCATCTCCAACACTGCTGGGGCTTCCCATAAAGGTCTGGAGCCATGGGGCGGTGGGCACAGCTCCCGCTTCATTGAAAAAAGGTGGTAAGCTGCCAAAAACTCAATGGCTCCTCAAAAAGCATCCAATAGGAGGAGGCCACAGACAGACCCAAGCACCGGTTATTCTCCACAACCAGGTGATTTTAAAGACAAGGGTCTCCCTCCCTGCCCCACAGCACCTCACCTTGTTCCTGCTGTGGTTCAACGTTCCCCACCCCACTGACTACCTTTGTCCTCCCACATCCCCACCTAAAACCACCATGCATGTGTAAAGTCTTGGAGGCAGCCAAGGTCAGCCCCAAGGTCTGGAGCCTCAACTCATGGGTTGGGGTCTGCTGGGACAGTGGGAGACAGGCAAAGATGGCCAGAAATCCCAGGGGGCAGGGGCTGGGACAGTCGCTGTGGGACACATCCCTGCTGTGCTCTCCTACCTTGGATGCTACTGCCTATGTCATCCAAGGAAATCTTCAGGTTCTGCGGATGATTTGCAGTTGTTTTCTCCAGAAAATTCCTAACCTTCACAAAAGTCTGTGAAAGACACCCTGGGTTAACTGCTGAAGGGGAGGTAGGTGTTAAAATCCAAGGGGTGTCCCACCTCGATGTCCCCCTGGGGGGGACACCCCACAGTGCCCAGTGCCACCTGGGGCTGAGCTGCTCCATGGCTCTTCCCTGGGGCCACCTCTATCCTCCCATCTTGGGATGGGCCATCCAGGAGAGCCCTGTGTGGGTCCCTAAAGACCACAGCAGGGATGGAGCCCCCACGCACCTCATTGCTCTCATCGGGGCTGTGGCTGTCGGGGGGCAAATTGGCTACCCGCTCCACCAGGTACTGCAGCTTCTGCTCACAGTGCTGGAGCTTCTCCTCCACCCCCCCGGCCTTGGCAGAATCATCCTAGAGTCAGAGAGAGAACAACCTTGGTGGGGAAAATGAGCCTCTTGGGGTGATGGTGGCTGCATCAAGTGTCACCACGCTGTGCTGTTGCAGTACCAAGCACTGGCTGAGGCTGTCCTCACCCCAGAGCCACATGGGTACCTGGCCGGGCACAGTGATGCCATGCAGACGGACGAAGAGGTTGTCAATGCCATTTTCAAACTCAACCAGGAGCTCCTGGTTCCTCAGCATCTGGGCTCGCATCTGCTCCAGCCGGGTCTCTTCCAACTGCAGGTTCATTCTCAGCTCCTCCTCCAGCTCCCTGGAACCAACCACATTGACATCCATACAACTGCACTGGGGTGCAGAGATACCCCAAATCTGTTGCAAAAGCTGCTCGGGTTGCCCCCCCTCCCTCAACTGACTGCAGAGCAGAGACGCTGCCTGCAACCCAACTCCGTGCTGGTACCACTTCCCCCACCAGGCAAGGAGCAAGGGTCCTCCTGGTGCCACAGCAGGAGCTTTGGGTGCTCTGCCAGGAGCACCCTGCTCAGAAAACCTCCTGGTGCAGGAGGGGTGGGCAGCTGCAGTGGGACGGAGGAAGGGATGCCCTGCTTGGACACCCATGCTGCTCATGTGGCCCCTAAGGCTGGTGGCCCGGTTGACACAGCTGTCCCAAGGCCAGCAGCAGCACCTGGTCGTGTTGGGGGGCTTGCGAAACTTCAGCTCAGCCTGCTTCAGCTCCAGCTCCTTCAGCGTCTCCTTCAGCACCTGCTTCTTCTCCTTGCACTCCTTGACATACTGCTCCAGGTCCACTGAGGACTTCTGCTGCGCCAGTAGCCTGCTGGGGATGTCCTGGCCGGAGGAGAGCACAAGGACTCAGCCCACGGTGGTCCTGTAGGGTACAGGATCTGGGCCGTGGCCTCGGGGAAGGTTCTGCACCATGGACCACTGCAAGCTTGTGGCATGGAGAAAAGCAGCTCCATCCCTGCCTGCAAGAGAGGCTTTGGGGGGCTCCAGGGGCAGAGGAGAGCAGATAACCCCACAGTGAAACAAGGAGAGCAGAGAGGTCTCGGCTCTCCGTGGGTTTTACCAGAGATGGGTTTTCACGTTACCCAGAGGCGGGAGCACTGCACCGCAGCCTTGGCCTTCTCCATCTTCTCGGTCACCCAGGCCTCGCGCTCCATCTGGGACTTGGTGGCCTCCAGTTTGGTGCCTAGGGTGGGAGGGAAGCGGCAGGGAAGGATTGGTGAGCTGGTACCTGGCTTGCTGCAAGGAGGTTCATCGTCACCCCTCGAGCTGCTGACACCCTGGGGGAGCTGCTCCTGCAGCCCCCACCCCCCCAACCCATGGGGGGCTTGGCACCCGTGCCTGCTGTGCGCCCACACCCCCGCCTGCGCCGGGCCCCCCAGCTCACCGCTCTCAGGTGCCTTTCGCTTGCTTCCTTCAGCCAGAGCCTGTCGATGGGCACGTTCTGGGCAGCCAGGGAGCGGTACCTGAGCTCTCTCTCCGCACGGAACTGGGCTTCCATCTTGGCCATCTCCTCCTGAAGCATATCAGAGAAGGGATAAGCGGCTGCTGAAGCTGGGGATGGACCTTTGTGAGCCAGCTGAGCTTCTGGGATTGCCAGCATCAGAAATGACCCCCCACCACGTAAACAGGCTGGGAAGGAAACTGGGCAAGGAGGGCTGGAGGACGGAGCATGCTACCTTCACCTGCTTGGGGCAGGCTGCCCCCAGCCCCAGGACAGCCTGGCCCAAAAGCAAGATGCGGGAGGAGCTATGGAGGCATCTAGGTGCTGGTGGGTAAGCCCAGCTCAGCCTCTTTTGCTCTTTATTGCAGGAAGACTTACCAGCCCGGGCATGTGGCGCTGTCTGGGCACTCTGGAGGGTGGAAGAGAGCCCCAGGGTGCTCCGGGACCATCTCACCTTGGTTACATCAGCGGCTTTAAGGGCACTGAAGGCCATGACCTCCATGTCTTCCAGCTCCTTATGGTACCGGTTGGCCATCCCGCACAGAAGGTCCAGGTGCGGAGGCAGGTGGGCCAGCTCCTGGGACACAGGGAGCCACAGAGCGTCATCCCACCCAGCCCCAGGGGTCCCCTGCATGCTGTGACAGGGGATGGTGGGGAGCAGGAGGACCTCGCCAAGCCAGGAGGGTGTCCCACCAGCACAGCTCCTGGGGCACCTCATTGCCTTTGCAGGGGGAGCAGGTGGGACAATGGCAGAGTGAGGAGGAGCTCACCTTCCTCAGGACATCCCGCACCGCCAGGTACAGGGCGGTCACCCTCTGTCCAGCACGGACTTTCGTGAGCATCTTCTCAATGTTGTTCTCCAGCTGGCGAATCACCTGAGGCGGAGACGGGAGGAGGGACATGGGGTGACCCAGCATGCCGAGCCCAGCGCCCACCCAGTGGGGCATGGAGGTTGGATTAAAGCCCTCCGTGGGTGCCATCACTCCAGGAAGGGGTCCTGGGTACCTGCACTTGTGCCTGGTGCCGCTTGTCATCCATCTCAACATCCTCCAGCTGCTGCAGTCTCCTCTGCAGCTGGTCCCAGGCTTGACTCCGCTGCTTCAGCTGATATAACAGCATGTTGCATGTGTTCACCCGCTCATAGATTTTGGCCCGGAGCTTCTCCCGGGCCACCTGGATGGGCATGCAAGAGTTCACCAGGCTGGAGGCAGGGTTCTCTGGGCACCCATGGGAGAAGGGGGTCCCGCCTGGAAAACTCCCCCCAAGGCAGAGCCGGGGATGCTGGGATGCTGCTCCGGGACGTTGTTACTTCCTTGGTAGGAGAGGGTCTGGCAGAGCTTCGCTCTGGGGCACTGGTTGGGGTACGGCAGAGGTGGGCATCTGCTGATGGCAGCAGATGGGTCGCGCTGAGGGACTCTGCCTAATGCAGCCCCGGGGCTGGGCGTCAATAAAATCGATCGGTGCCCCAGATGCGGATGCTGGCGGAGAGCGGCGGCACCACTCTGCCCCTGCAAGAGGCCCCCAGGGAAAGGCAGCTTCGTGAGGCCACCGCCTCTATCTCCATGGGCTTATAACCAGGTCACAACCTTGGGACAGGCAGTGAAGGGCAGAGACAGCATCTCTCTCCCAGGGATGCAGCTGGATCCCGTAGGAACCCGGGGAGACGCGGTGGGATGGCCAAGAGCTCTGCTGGGACAAAGAATCTGCCCAGGGAGCTAAAGGAGGGCCTGCACGGATGGGTCCCGCAGTGGAAAGGGACACATGGAACCACAGGTGAACACCCCCTCTCTTGCCGCACCAGCCCTGTGTCCTTGTGCCGGCACCAGGGCCCTCTGCTGTGCAGTTCTGAGTGTCCCCAGAGCCCCAGCCCCCTGTGAGCAGTCCGTGCTCGCCGGACCCGCCGTTACCTCCACTGTCTTCCTGGCCAAGGTGATGCCCAAGGGCTTCTGCGCTCCACAAGCCTCGGAGACGGTGAGCTTGTTGCACTGTGGGCAGGAGAGGGGCAGAGAAACCATCGCTGTCAGCCTGGGGACGGTCACATCCTATTGCTGCCATGCGCTGCCTGCTCCTGGAGAGAACTGGTGGAGGAGGTGGCTCTGCAGGGCCAGGCCAGGCAGGAGGACAGCAGATAGGACTTGCCCGTACCTTCTGGACAATGCCCAGGGCATTGATGTCTTCCTGCACCGCCTCACGCAGGCGGGGGAGCAGCTCTCTCTTCTGACTGAGCTTTTCCTCACACGACAGTGTGAAAATCTTCCTCCCTTGCTCTGGAGGACATTAAGGCGCCGTTGGTACCGTGCAGGACCATGTGGGGACCAAGATCCCCCCTCCCGCCCTGGGCCATCCCCGCGAAGCCGAAGGGGCAGCACCTTGCAAGGCAATGACGGCGCGCAGCTCCTGGACGCGCTGGCTGAGGCTCGCCTTCCGGCCCGGCACGGTGCTGGTGCTCCCGCCGCGGCTCTCCAGCCCCGCTGCGTGTGTGGTGGCCCTCGCAGCTCCGCTGGTGGCCGGGCTTTGACCAGCGACGGAGCCGAGCTTCCTGCGCCCATGGAACCGTCGCCGCGGCACCTCCAACTGCTGCACGCCACACACCTCCTGCTCGGCCATCGCCACCCACAGCCCTTTCCTCTCTGCTGCTGCAAGCAACAGATTAATTAATAAGCAATGCCTGAGCTCCCCGAGGCCGGGCAGGCAGCGGGGATGCCAGCTGTGTTTCCCATCACCGTGGCTACCGCAGTTGCACCCCGCCCGGCCGGGGGAACCCTCCGAGCCCCGCCAGAAACAAGGAGAACCTGCGTACACCTACACCCAAACACACGACCAGCGCTCTCCTGGAAGCTGCCAGCTTATTTCAAAGGGCAAGAGGAGTCTATTACTATTCCCTAGACAGGCACCTTCAGAAATTTCAGTTAATTAGTTCGGAAATGTCAGAAAAATTCAGTTAATTAGTGCAGGGAGTTACACTCCTATTGAAACGGGCAAGAACAAACCAGCTACCAACACTGATATTTATTTTGATGCTTACCATACATTCTTGCTGAACTACAAATATGATGAGAAATGCAAGCATGTACATTTATTTGTTGATAAATTAAATCAAGCTCCCTCTACCAGAGAAAATCCTTAACGTTTGATTTGCAGAAAAAGACTTCATAAGGAAATTGCCTTCCTAGCACCACGCTCATAAATCAGCTTAGATTGTTTCCGTAACTCAAGATCTTTAACCCGCAGCCATCCTGTTGTGCTTTAGGTGCTGAACATAGGAAACAAAGAAATTATAGGATTGTGAAATCAAGTTTTACCAACACAACATCATCCGAGGCTCTTACTCAGTGCCTCATTTGCAGATTTATGAATTGCTTGTTAGCGCTAATTGCCAGTGACAAGCTAAATATCAACTTTATCATCTTCAGTGCTTCACAAAGTACACATGAAGAGACGGCCATTTGAAAGACAAGCAGTTAAGGGCTTGTACGCATGAGGAATCTTGCCAGTCTGTCCACGCATGTAGAGATCTCCATGTTGAGACTGCATCTACGTGGCAAGTATACTAATTACACCACTAAACTTTCCTAGCCAGCGTTTAAACACCATGGAAGATTACCCTGGGGGCAAGAGAAAGCATTTCAAACTGGATAAAGTGGTTCAAGAATCTCCGTTTCACTGGCCCTCAGCAAAACTCTGACTCTACAGCGGCAAGTCCTTCCAAAATATTACTAAAGAAATTTAACCCAATCTTGCACGAGCTCACGTCAACAGACTGCTGCAGGAATCAGCTTCCAAGAGGGAGCCTTCGACAAAGGATCTAGTGCTGCCGGCCCTCTGCGCCTGACACGTCAAACCTCTCCTCCTCCAGATGACTTCAGCTCTCCCTGCTTAAATTCTAGAAAATTCACAATGTGTTAATGATACAAAGGAAAGGTCATGTCAGGGTACAAACCGGCGCTCTGTTTACGTGTCGTATAACAGGCAGAGTCATGCACTCTGAAAGCAAACAGCAAACAATGAACGCAACGCATGCTCACCCAGGAGAGACCTCAGCACTGGCTAGCCCGCAGCTCCTGACTCGCTGCCTACTATCAGCATGGAAACAGGTACGCAATACTAACGGCTCCTTAATTCCT